TGTCATGGGGATCACTAACTATCCTTCCCCACCTCCAGCTTTTGCATCATTGTTCCTTTGCCAGGCGAGCCTCCCTTCTCTACATATGAAATCTGACCTATCTCCTTGGGAAGGCCTCCCCGGATCCCAACCCTGGGCTCAGTTTCCTCAGAAGGTCTGAGAGCTCCCTGACGGCTGAAGCCCCTACCACCCCCTTGGGAAACAGAATGAAAGCAGAGGATTTGGAAGCCTGACCCTCATGGCTCTTCTGTGTCCCTCGGGGCCCCACATGACCAGTCACCCCTTACACATGCTTCAAAGTCTGTTACCCCCCCACCCTGCACGCCACTGGAGCCTTAGAACTTGGTGGCATACCCCACCTTACAGAGCACAGACTAAGTGCCCTTAGAAGGGGACTCGCCCTGCCCTCAGGACCCAACAGTGAATTCTACCATGGCTCAAACAGCCCTGTGGCTCATGGGAGGGCAGGGAAGGGTGCACTGGCCCCATTTTCTGAGGGAGGAGGGCCACCCTGTGTGACTCAGAACCAGCAGCTGGAGGGAGGGGGTGGTCATTGGAGGGTTAGATTCAGCCAGGGCCCAAGTGACCAAAAGCAGAAATCTCCTGCCCCAGGAAGACCAGTGGAAGACCCTGCCTCACCCTGGTGCCACCCCCAAGCTGCTGCTCACTGATGGATGATCCTATGGTCAATAGGACTGCTCACTCTCTCGCTGCCCCTGCTGTGTTCCAGGAATGGTTCTAACCACTTAATACATCGGAGCTCACTTAGTCCTAACAACCTGTAAGGTCTGAGCTAGTGTTCTTCCCATTTTAGAGATAAGGAGACTGAGGCATAGGGCAACTACTGGGTTTGCCTAAGGTCAAGAAGAGGAAGCAAGATCTGCATTCAGACAGTACAGCCCCGGAGTCTCGAGGTTTGGGAAGCATGGAACCAGGACCCCTACCAGGCCCCCAGCTCCTGGCCTTAGCTGCAATCCCACTGTGGGCCTGGGATTAGTCTCTAGTCTCCAGACTCTGTTTCAATCTTCCGGAGAATGGGGACTGCACCAGCCCCGCCCATCTCAGGCTTTGCTTACAAAGGACAGGAGAATGATCTGGGGGCTGAGGGGACAGGAGGCTTGGGAACTACTGGGATGCTTGGACCTCCCACCTCACTGTGGTGACATCCATCCTCAGTCCCTGTTTGAGATTACCAACCCTGCCGTGGGGCAGAGGCCCCCCAGTAGTGTGAGGAGGGGGAGTTCTGTGGGTACTGCCTCCAGGGCCTCCCCCTGCCCCTCCTCAGGGACCTGGTCCTCAAAGGCAGCCCAGGCCCCAGGCTCTCAGGCCCCAAGTCCTTGTCAGCAACCCCTACCCCACCCCCAGGGCCCTCTCCCTGTTCCCACTTCCTTATTTGGGTTTATCACACTGGAAGGAAAAAGAGAAACTTTTCCCTTCAGGCCTGCCTTGGGGGGAGGGGTCTCCTCTAGCCCCTGGGGCGCCCTGGGCACCCCTCTGTGGCACACCTGCTACCTCAGGCCACGCCCCCAGCCCCTCCCCCCAGCTCCCACGCCTACCCGCCCCACCCAGCCGGAAAGGAGCCCAGAGTCTTCCAGGCCTCCGGCCTGACTGGGAAGGAGCAGCAAGGAAGCTCAGGCAGGCAGGGGTTAGCCCTGGGGAAGGAGAGGCCCAGGGTGCAGAGGAACGGGCGGTGTGAAAACGAGGGTGAGGTGCAGGACGGGTCGCAGAGCGGCAGGTGGGAGCGGGGCATCGGGGAAGCACCAGGGACACTGCAGGTAGAAAGGGGGGTCAGGATTTATTGGGGTTCAAAGTCTTGATGCTAAGGAGTAGAGAGCAAGGTTCCCCAGAGGTGGAGGAACTTGGGGGGCAAAGTCTCCACTACGGGGTGACTTGATACTCCCACCTGAGGAGGGAGCTGGGCTGGGATCCAGAAGCAGGGCAAAGAGGTGCCAGCCAAAATAAGGTGAAAAAGTGATGAATGGAGGAGAATATTCTGACTAGGGCACTGGGAAGAGTAGGGTCCCGGCGGTACGCACTCAGAATGGGGGGTACATTGAGCCAGACTGGGGGCCAGATTTCTCGAGCCAAAGAGTCCAGTGCCGGGCAGGGGTCTGGGGACCAGGCCAGGGTTGAGGGAACCAGAAGTATACGGGCTGGGAGAGGTGGAAAGGGCCAGTGAAAATAAGGGGACCGGGATTTATTGGGGTTCGAAGTTTCCGGACCAAGGAATGGAAAGACAAATTTTCCGAAGATGAGGGGATGCAGTTGGGGGAACGACAAAGTCTTCATCACAGGGACGATTGGGACTCAAGTTTCCGGAGCGCAGCTAGGCTGAGAAGGGGGGGCGCGTCTGATGGCCAGGCGAGTCTGGGCTGAGGGTCCCCGGCGTCTGGCCGAGCTGGAGTGAGGGGGTCCCCGGATCTGGGCGGAACGGGGGGCCCCTGCGCTTACCTCGTCCCATTTGATGAACTTACTCCCGCGCCGCAGGGTCTCCACGACGGTGGGCGGCTCCAGCTGCAGCGCATGGACGCCGGGCCTGGCGCCCGCCATGGCCAGGCCGGGGGCGGGTCGGGGACCCACGGACGGACCGTGGCCCGAAGGGCCGTAACCGACGAACGGGGGG